CTCCCTTCGATACGTAACGTACTATGTGAACGATCCCTAACTAAACGCACAAACGATTTTCAAAAAGCTCCAGTCTGACGGCAATTATTTTGGTTCTGCGTTTGACACTTCTTCGGCTCTGCATGTTTACTGCTCAGCTCACACTGGTTCCGCGGGCGTTCCACTTCCGGCCCCAACGAGTAAAAAGTCCGAACTAATGATAGCGCCTGCAACGCGCTGGGTGGGCAAGCCCACCAAGCAGGTGTGTGAAGACAGCGGCCTGCCCTGAGCCTCTGCAGTGCGAGGGCTTCGGACAAGTCAACGTTGTTTGACGCCCAACATCATCTACGTGTCACCGTTTGTGGAGGGATGTGGGGTGTGGGGGATAATTGATGTCAATTTACTTTACATCTCTCCAGGTAAACCAAGTTGGGCTGAACCTGATACGGTTATAGGCTAGGGATCATCCAGAAAATACGTCCGTCATTCCACCTTATGGAATCACCGAGTGGAGCCTGTTATGCCAACTCCCATGGCGCCTTATAGGTAGGCAACATCCTGCCTGCAGTGCATGCGTGTACGGCGGGTTGGCCTACCCGTAGTCTCGCAGGCGCGAAACACCCAGTAATTGGCGATTGACTTTAAGTAAAACGGACGTACTTTTCTGGACGGCCCCTTAGGAGAACGCTGGGCTGAATTTTGCGATTATGTCTAGATTTACGCATGGCGTCGGACCGCGCTCTCTTTCTGCGACTAGGGCATATGGCAAACAAACTGTGCTTGGCTGGTGTCAGTCGGCTCCCTTACCTCTGCAGCTGCTCCAGGACGCCGGGCGCGGCCGGCGGTGATCGCTCTCCTCGCGCTCGGGCTCGGGCTCCAGCACGCCGCGGTATTGAATGCAAGGGGGGCCGCCGCTCCCGACCCGGTCACCGGTCAGCGCCGCGGCGGCTGTCATATCGGCAGAAGCTGCTGCTGCATCGTGCGGCGTGGTGGTGCAGCGGGGAGGGGTGGGCCTTGCATAACGCACTAGCCGCCCCCCTCCCGGTGCACTGCGCCCTCCCCCGCCCTCCCCGCGCACGCCGTGCTCTCCGTGCACCACACCCCCTCCAGGAGAGCCTCCCTTTCTCTGGACGGCCCGGGCCGCGCGGGGCCCGACCCCATCGAGGGGCTTAAAAAGAAGCGCTAGCTTTGGAGGTGCGCCAGTCCAGTCCACCGTCCCGCACCGACCCAGCACTCACCATGAGAGCCCTCACGGTGAGTAGCTGCAGCAGTCTTAGGATACAGTGCGCCGCCCGCCCCACCCCAGCAAGAGCAGTGCAGTGCAGTGCGACAAAGTGACGGCGTTTAGTCTAAATGCCCCCGAAGTTGAGGGGTCGCGGCATCGAGTGCATCTCATTGGATAAAACGACGACTTGCGTTTAGATTGCTGGTCAGGTCTAAACACCTTTCCTCCAATGGAATCAGAATCCGGCCTGTTCATTCCAAAATGCTACTTATCCGTGCCAGGCGTTTCTTGCGCTCCAGTGTTGCATGATTGCATACTGGCTGGGGCGGCAAGGGTGAAGGTACTTACCACGGGTACTTACCTTTCGAATAGATGACGTGTCACGAATGCCCCATTATCAAGCTTATAGTAGTGTTGTGATAATGTTCGTCAATGGATACATAAGTGTTTATCGCGAATGCGCTTAAACCTATTTCTAGTATGTTAATTTAAATCTTAGTGTTTAAATATATTTCCATTTAATTTGTGCGAAGAAATTATTGTTCTCCTTTGCGGTAAAATTGTTTATGGCAACCTATGCATCCATAATTTGCTTTACAGCCTCTAAGGGAATTTTCTTTCTGAGATTTTTTTTTTAAATTTGCTCGGTAATTTATTGAGGAAAAAATCGAAACGCGCCCTTTTTTGTACTGATTCATAATTCAGCAAAAAGCTTCAATTTGGTTATATTTGTATATCTGAAGCGCAGAGCTCGCCCCCCCGCCCCCCTTCCAGCGAAGTAGGATTCACGGTAAGATACGAGTAAAAGGTCATGATTGATAAAATTACTTTGGGGGAACACGATATGATTCCATGCGAGGGTAGGATTACACGCGCAGCGGTGTGTAGTAGCCTCGTGTTTTTTAAATGAATTAGAGCGAGTGATAGCGGTTAGGCGCGTTCATTTTCGCTCGTGTACAATTGTATCAAAGTGGGGGATTCCTTGTTTCCGTGTTTGTTCTCTATGAGTGTGTCAGAGCGTCAAAGAGTCGGTCTGGTCCGGCAGCTTGCTCCCGCCCCTCGGGTCCAGCCGTTATGACAACAACGAGGAAGCCACTCGCTGAGAGCGCCGCCGTGCCCGCTGCCCGCCGTGCCCGCCGTGCCCGCCGTGCCCGCCGTGCCCGCCGTGCCCGCCTAGCCACGCCGCGCGCTCGCGGGTGGGCAGGGGCACTCCCCCCGCCTCCGTTTAACGCCTGCTTTACGGCAGAATTCCGGATTCTATCGCACTCCCGCTCCGGCGTCCTTTACGAGCCGACTGCGGCAATGTAATTACTCCTTACGGCGTCGCGCGCGCTCGGTCGCGATCGCGACATTTTTTATTCGTGTCACGTCTTGGCGGTAAAACAACCGGGTCAAGTGCCAAAAAAAAGTGCGTCGTATGATTGTCACCTCGTTGTGTTCGGGGTGGGAAGGGAGGCGCTATCGTCGCTCTACCACGAGCAGTGGAGTGGCGACGGCGGAGAGGCGGCGGGCCGCGGGTGTGGGCGCGTGGGCGTGGGCGGGGCGGGGTCGCTTTATGATCCCAGGTCAACTCCCTTGTGCGGCGCGCCTCTTTAACCGCACACGAAAATGTCAGAAGAAGCGAATGCATCACACACGCCGACTGCAGCGGCGGCGCGTGGCCGCGGGGCGGCAGTAAGCAGGCCGGGCGGGGCGGGTTCATCGTCGTCCTGGTCCCTCCGGCCTCTGCCCTGGGGCCTACCCCTGCATCCCGCCGACCCCCGTCCTGGCCGCAGTGCAGTGCAGTGTGCCGCCGCGCCGCTGGTCGTGACACTCTGGGGGTGGCAATGACCTCCGCCTCCGCCCCTGCTCGCGCTCGCGCTGACCTTTTTACGGGGAACTCGGAGCTACCCTGCGTGGCTTTTGTAAGCTCCCCGCTGCGCGTCCAGAGGCGTTCAAAGGCCAAGAACGGCGGCGGCGGCGGCGGCGGCTGCGGCCGCGTCCGCCCGCACTCCGGGGGGTGTCCGACTGGCGTCCGACCGGTGTCCGCGGCCGCGGGTGCAGCAGCCGGCCCCGCTGCAGTCACGGCCGACGCCTTTCGCCGTGGAGGTGCGGGGGGCGCGGCGCGCGCTGCACCGGGCCAGGGGCCAGCCCCCAAGTGGGTCATTGCATCCTCAAAAGACAGCGGCCGGTCGCTTCCTGGCGGCGGCAGTCCGCCCCCGTCCCGGAGCGTGCCGAACGCGACTGCCACCCCTCCGTTCGTCATTCAGCTCCCCGTCCAGCTCCTCGTTCGGATAGTATAATCTGTTCTTCGTCATTTTCTCTCCCACATTTTCCCGAAGAGAAAGAAGTGAGCTGTAAAAGTGAGGCAATGTAAGGCAGTAACCAGGTTCACACGGCCTGTTCCTGGCCGGCCCACCCCACCTCCCACGGAGCGCCGCGTGCCGCGACCCACTACTCGTCCGCGCCGCGGGGCGGATGGCGGCAGCATGTCGTCATTTGTTCGAGAGTCATCGGCGGTGCCCCCGACGTCACGGCGCAGGGCGAGGCGGACGCGTCGTCAGGGCGGACAGCTCCGCGGTGTACTGATCAGGTCCCCCGAGCGGCCGGACCGACGGCGGCCGGGCTGCAGCGACAAACGTGTCGCAACGCAACAAGCCTGCGGGAGTGAGATACTTAAGTAGAGGCGACGATAAGAGATGCGGTGTGTACGGGCGAATGGGAGCCTGCTGCTTCAGGAGGGGCTCTGCGCGGCGAGGCGCGGGTACGCGACGCGCGCTCTAGTTCTCACACCGAAGGCGGGCGTCAACCCGTCAACCAGGCAACCGAAACGCACCCCGCGCGCCCCGCAGGGAGTCGACCGGACCACCCCGCGGGCCGCATAGCGCCCGTCATACGGCTCGCGGGGTCAAAGGTCGGGCGATGCGGTGCAGCGCAAGTGCGGCGCGCACGCACTCTGGGCTGGGCTCGCGGGCACCGCCGGGGCGATTGCGTTGTGATGAGGAGGAATGAGGCCCGGCCCGGTCGGCCACCCTAACCTTACTCAACCGGGGGCGTCCCCCGTCCACCTACCAGACGGCCAGTGGGGCGTCACAGCCAGGGCTCACACGTTCACCAGCTGTCCGGGGCGGGGCGGGGCTGCGCCGGGCCGCGAGGCGTAAATCATCACATTACAGAGCGCCGCGAGGCCGAGCCAGCCGCGCCGCGCCGCCGCGGTAATCATTGTTTTCAACTGGGGCGGGTCCCCGCCGAGTCCCCCCGGACGCTACCTACCTACCCCTCCTCGAGCCGTTAAATCACCCGCGAACAGCTTCATGAATTGCTAGTTACGGTGGGCCGAGCGGCAGCGGTGGTCGGCGGCGGCGGCGCGTCGAGTCGCGATGGCGCCGCAGTTTGTTGTTTCCTGGTCATCTTCCAGGGAGCGCGGCCGCGGCCGGCCAGGCGCAGCGTCCTGGTCCGCGCCGCGCCGCGCCGCGCAGCCCAATTGGCACCTCTTTGTGGACCGACGCCGCCGCAACAGCGGTTACCCCCCCGGCTCGCGGCGCAAACGAGTCCGCGGCGACACCGCCACGCCGCGCCACGCCGCGCTAGAGGCGAAAGGCGTCGCGGCTACCAAGTGGGCGGGGGAGAGGTTGTGCTTGCTCTTCTTTGGTTCTGATTAGTGTGCCGTTTTTTTCCCATCCAGATCTTCGCCCTTGTCGCCCTGGCGCAGGTTCGCGCTGACGCCAGCCTCGGTGGATACAGCCTAGGCGGCGGTGGCGGCGGCTACAGTTCCGGGGGCGGCTACAGCTCCGGGGGCGGCTACAGCCTCGGCGGCGGCGGTGGCGGCGGCTACAGCTCCGGCGGCGGTTACAGCTCCGGCGGTGGCGGCGGCTACAGCTACAACGCGGTGAGTTCAACGGGCACATCCTGCTGGTTCGAGTACAGATTTTATTCTCTGAGGGACTCCGCCTCCCGGTCGATCTGGTTCTGACGAAACGAGGATGGCACGCATAAAAAGGCGTTGTAAGTCGAATGAAGCACGGTACGTGCGTCATGAGCTGCCCCACGCTGCTTGACCCGCGGCAGAGTGAAAGAGAGCGTGCATGGAGGGGCGAGTGGGAGGGACGGAGACGGCAGCGGCGGCGGGAGCTTTAAAGTGGGTCACGACGACGTTCTGCGGACGAGCTCTCCGGGTCGGGGACCCGAATGGACACGGGGGGCACCACCCCAAGTGCACCGGGCCATGCCAGGACGAAAATAGATGCCATGCTGCTCCCCCAAACTGAGGTACTGTCTCTAAACTCACCTTTCTCTGTCCACCCCAGGCTCCCATCGTCACCAAGCACGTGTATGTGCACGTGGCGCCCGAGGAGCCCGACGTGCAGCGCCAGGTGCGCATCCAGGCGCCGGGCCAGGCCAAGAAGCACTACAAGATCGTGTTCATCAAGGCGCCCAGCCCGCCCCAGGCGGCCGGCGCCACCGTGCAGCTCCCGCAACAGGACGAGGAGAAGACCCTCATCTACGTGCTGCACAAGAAGGAGGAGCAGCAGGCCGAGATCAACATCCAGCCCGCGCCCCAGACCACGCCCCAGAAGCCGGAGGTTTACTTCATCAAGTACCGCACGCAGAAGGGCGCCGCGCCGTCCACCAGCTACGGCGCCCCCGCCGCCGCGCCTTCGTCCAGCTACGGCGCCCCCTCGGCGTCCGTGTCGGCGCCGTCCTCCAGCTACGGCGCCCCCAGCAGCTACTAGGCGGCCTCGCGCCTCGCGCCGCACCCCGCGCCCTCGCGGAGCCTGGGGAGCTCCATCGGTCCTTACGGGTCTGCCATCTCCAACACCTCTCCAACCCTGTCCGCTGGGCCCGGACCGTCGCCCCGCGGCGGGCGCTGTGATAAGGGGCCCCCTGCCGTCCCCGCCCCGCCCCGCTCCCCCGACAGCCAAAGCTCGGCCCCGCCAGCCCCCCGTGCGCCGCTCCCACCTTCACGACACGCGGCCGGGTGGCTTCCACTGTAACTGAACTGACCCATTTTATACACCCCTCTGGTCGGGCTGGGCTGGCCTGGAACTGTTTCTGCTGTACATACTCACTCCTTCAGCTTGCCCCTTCCTCGTAGATTAATGATTTGTATCTCATGAAGCAAGAATAAAAAACGGTGGCCATACATGTACCTGGTGGAGCGTTTATTCCGCCATCACCCTTGACCCGCTACCACGGCTCACCGCTCCCCCCGCGATGGCGCCAACACCAGCGCGTCCGCGGCGGATGGGTTGCCTACCCCGGCGGCGCCCGGCCCGCGCCGCCCGCCGCGGTCACCTGTCGGCCACCGGTCAGGGCGGTGCAACGGAATGGGGTCGATGCATTATTCAGATGACGCCGCCGATTATGATGCTATTTATTTATTTTTTGCCGCGACTCTTAGTCTCTCCATGGACCCCGTTAGCGTGCTGAGGTTGAGACAGGAAGGTCAGCGCGGCTGCCTGCCCTGCCAGACGCGCACGCGCTCTGTGATCCCGCGACCCGCACAACAACTGAACACATTGTGCCTTCGACCGTTACGGGCTCACGGGGGCCTCAAACCGCGCCGCGTAATCGCGAGACACCCGGCGCCGTAACTTTGTCATAAAACGGCTGCCTAACGCGTATCATCACGACGGTCCGGGCGGGCCGTTGCGGCTGACAGACAGGAGAGCCAGCGCCGGCTATGCTGCCCTGAGCCAGGGCCGGGGCCGGGGGCCGGGCCCCCGCCGGGCCCCGCTCTGCGCTGCGCTGTTGTTCGCGTCGCAGCCAAAGGGGGAGAAGGAAGGTCATTTGAGCCCCTCTGCCGATACCGCGGGTAAAAACCCAACGGCAAACGCACACAAGTCCGGTGGTCTTCGGCTTGCCCCGGGTGGTCGCGGCGGTGGGAGGGGGGGAGGGGGGCGGGGGCCCCCGTTCGTGTGGCGGGGGCAGCGGGGGCTGCAACCCTTACATGTATACGGCGAGCAGCGGCCAGCACGCGCCCAGTACTGGACCCGCACCGGCACCATCAGCACCATGGCGATCAGGACCATCATCGGCGTTCTCGTCCTCGTCGCGGCGGCCGCACAGGCCAAGAAGATCCGTGAGTACACTTAGGCCCTTCGTGCTTGCAACGCCCAGGGGGTGTCGCCATTTAGCGGAGGTGGTTGTCGCAAGCGGGCGCGGACGGACAGTGACCCAGCGCGATGCGGTCTGTCGGCGAACCACCTGTTGTTCTGCTGTTCCGGCTGTTCCTTGGGCCCCATTTTTCCTGAGGATATACCAGATGGCTGGTTAACCTCCCGTATTTCTGTAGTTATGCAGTACCGCATTCCTAGGTGGGGGTGGGTTGCCGACTCGCTCGCCCCGTAAGGCGCCGGGGACAGGGGCTATATACCTCTGAAGGAAAGCCCGCCTGCACTCGTGCGTGCGTCACAGTATAACTGCAGATAAGTGCAGAGGGTAAACCAGCTACCTGGTTCCAAGGCAGTTCGTAACTGCACAATTCAGTTGGGATCGTGGGCCTTTTAGCCGCGGCCAATAAAGCATTCCGGTACAGCTGAAATGCAAAAGAATGCAAGGAACAAGAAAACGGAAGTCACCATGTTAAAGGATAGTGATTTCCGTTTTCTTCTTCCCCTCATTCTTCTGCATTTCATCTTTACCGGAATGCTTTATCGGTTCAGGAGGAACAGGAGGAAAGAAACCCTGGGGCGTGTTGACTTGAAAGATTAGGATGGCTCAGACTAGACCAGTTGATACCGTCGCTTGATGATCAGATCCTGATTAGTAAAAGTCCATCAGAATGTGATAAATGTTGTAGTCCTGTTATCCGTAAGGCAGGGACACGATAATCATTGAAACGACATTTTTTATCATTTGCAGCATTCATGTTTTCTTACTCATTGCAGCCGATTATCTCCAGACATGCAAAAGGAGCGACCCAAAGTACGACGACTGCCTCACGAAAGCCATTGTGGCCGCCAAGCCCTACCTCAACAAGGGTGAGTACAAGGCATATCGCGAGGCATGAGCTGCCTGCGCAAGAACACATTCTTCTAAGAAACGATAAACAGAAGCAGTGACAGCAGGCACACGTCCGTGACAAATCATATATTAGGCCTCGTTACTATGTCTTCAATAACGCGGAAGTAGTGTGAACAACATCCCGACACGAAGATACAAATATCTCTCTGCTCCTCCCCCCTCTCTCTCCCCCTCTGTCTCCCTCTCTCTCACACACACTGCACGCATGCTTTCTGCCTGCCGTCAGTTTCCTTCCCGCTCGTCGTGTGAGTTGCGTGACGATCGACAAACTGACGTTGCGTCCTGATGCAACCGACGAGCGGTGCGTCTCTGGCTGCTGGACACGACTGTGGGACACACTCGGCCGAGCAGTGTAATCAGGGTTAATAACAGTTGCAGCAGGGTGTGGGAGGAGCCCATCCGCGCTCCGTGCATCCCAATGCGTCCTGGAAATCATTTACACAGCAGCAGGGGGCGTGGCGTGGCTCATTGATGGACATTGCTGTCAGAGCAACATATCGGAAAAGAGTGAAAAGAGCAGGAGCTTGATAGTAATCATCCTAGTTTGTCTGTGGGATATGGCTCGGCACGCAGGATTCTGCACGACTGCAACGGCGTGTTCCATGACGCTCAGCAGGAGGGGGGAGGGGGGGGGGGGGGGGGGTCTGGCTCCACTGACAGGGGCACCGTCCATCGGTCAGGGCGAGCAGGGACGCACTCTTCTCCTTTTATTGGGAATACAACATGACGGCGAGTTTGGATGGGCTGAGACCGAGCACCGCCACGCAGCGCCACGCCAGGCGCAGTGATGCAATATTATGGAGGACCGTGAACTGTCGTCTGCTTGTTGAATAAATCGGCAAGGGACCCCGGTTTGGCACTCGGGCCGGCTGGAGTGCGGGGCCTTGAAGACAACTTGAGGACACTTGGGTTTGTGTTAACACTCGGAGCGGGTTTCCCTGTGGTGCTTCTTTTATTTCTCGTGCCTGATTGGCGATCATAACTAGATATGGAATCGTCTTTTCAAAGTTAATTGCCGTTTATCGCAACGGATTTTTCCATGTTGAGGTCTGCGTTTGTTTTTCAATCTTTGCAAGTGATGCTCAATGGATTTTCCCATTCCCGGACCTCTGCCCCTTCCTTTCATCCTGCTCCTCGGACAGTGGCCTTCCCTAATTCGCACGCTTCTCCTGTTTCTCTCTCTTGCATCGTACGCCTTGCAATTTCATGGCAGATCTCACCGACCACAAACGCCATACACGCAATATTTAAATAATACTTACGAGCAAAACAACGAAACAAATAGTAACGCATTCCTTATTTAAAAGAGCGTGGATGTCCTTTGCAGGTATCCCCAAGCTCCATGTGCCGCCATATGAGCCGCTGGAGTTCCCTGCGCTCGACGTGGACCGCAACCTGGACAACATCCAGGTGAAGGCTCACCTCACGAACATCAAGATCTACGGCGCGAGTGGCTTCATCATCGACAGCCTGAAGTAAGCATCGCCGCTGTGTCCACGCCCATTGCTGTAGTTGTCAGACTCTCCCACACGCACACCGCGGGGGTTTCCTTACTTGCCGTGGCTGTAGTTGCTGAGCTTAACTTGAACTTGAAATTAAACTTTAACTTTAAATGCTCAGCTCTGTTAGGGGGCGCAAGGGGAGACCGCCCGGAAGACGGCGTGAAGTGAGGCGCCTGGCGTGAGACGTGGGACGTGAGGTGGACAGGCATGCCAACCAAAATCGCGAAAACATTTTAATTTTAGCGCGCCGCAGGCCAAGGTAGACGCACATATTTATCTCAGCTTCACACGGTTTTAACGTGCGTCTACCTTGTTAGGCTGCACCGCACGTGCGCGTGTGTGCGGGTTGCCTACTTGAACTGACGGCGGCCGCGCCGAAGTAAGACGCGAGCGTGCGGCACTACTGGCGCTGTGTAAGCTGGGATGGTGGAGCAGCATGTCAAACATTTTGGACGGTTTCCAGATCTGATCTCAGTAAGCACGAAGTGACGGCCACCGTGACGATTCCGAAAGTCTTTGTCGACATGGACTACAATGTCCAGGGTCGCCTCCTCGTCGTTCCCATCGTTGGTTTCGGCCACTTTAAGGGCAACTTCAGTAAGTCCAGATTGTTGCCACGCAAGCCGCACTGCTGGGGTCTGCGAAAGTGATAATATGACCAATTCTCTTTTACAGCAAACTGCAAGGCTGTAATCAAGGGCAATGCCAAAATATTTAACAACAAAAAGAACGTCAAGCACCTTAAGCTGGATAAGTTCCACGCCAAGCTCGCCGTCGGTGACACGGCCTTCGACATCCAGAACAAGGACACCAGGAGCGCTGCCATCGGTATGGTGACGGCCCCAGCCGGACTTGGGCTTGAGGGACTTGGGGGACAGAGAGGAGGCGGGCCCCATCTCCTTAAATTTTTGTTTACGTCGATGTTTCTGTTGTTCCGTGTTTGTTAAACGGCAGATCTTGTTTTGCAGCGAACGCAGCCAACGCCTTCATCGCCCAGAACAGGCGGCAGGTCATCCAGATAGTGCTCCCCATCGTAGAAGAAACCATGGATGAGGTGGTGCGGCAGATCGGAGACGACATCCTCAGCACCATGCCCTACCATGAGATCCTCCCTGAATAGGTACGCGCAGTCGACTCCTCCAAGCACCATCAACACATAGTCCTTAAACTATTATGATATTTATCTTTAAACAAAACAAGGTGTATGTATCGCTGTTACCGTTTAGAGGCCCGCTGCCCCATTGAAAACTGTTTTCTAGGTTTTTCGTCCTTTAAGATTGAAAACAACTACGAAAATCTACAAATATTTTGGGCTGTAAGTGTGTAAATTAATTCCCCTGGAATTAATGGACGTGGATCTTTTTTGTTATAATTGACAGCAGACAGAGTATCATAAGAAAGCGGCTTTAACATTTGTACCTGTGATTCGCGTCTCAACTTATCATCTTGCGTTACCATGACACATACTGTATTATCGAGGCATTTAAATGTTACCATCATCATCATGTTTACATGTTTTCGTGTTTACGTTTAGTTACCAAATAAAAAAATATGTTTGAAATAGTGAAAAGTCGTTCTGTCATTGTAAGGGGGCACGCGCTGCGCCGGCTGGGTAGGCAGCCCATTTCACATTCAAGATGGATTGGATGCATTGAAGGCGGGCGGATCCGAGACGGGACGTGCACCGTTGCGCCAGCGCCCTGGGGGATCGTCCAGAACGTACGCTTTTCTCAGATTCGTTCGGCAAATTACAGGAGCCCGGCGCCTGCGAAACTTGGGGTAGGCCACCCAGCAGTGCACGCGTGCTCTGAATGAAAAATGTTGCCTGCCTACCAGGCGCTCTCAGAGCTTGCATTGGCAGAACTGGGCAATGTCGCAACGGCAAATGGCGGACGTACTTTCTGCATGATCCCTGTGTGCGCCTTTCAAAATTAATTACAAACAACACTAAAAACTCACACTGTTTTTAAAAACAACTTCATACATGTAACTAGAGGTATCATTTATTTAAAATTAACTTCACCAAATATTCTCCGGCACGTATCCAAGACAGATACGAGCCTTACCCTTCACACATAAATAGAAAACATAAATAAAGACTATAAATAAATAGACAGACGCATGTACACAGGGTAAAATAATGCTACAAAACTTGTACGTCGGTATGTTTAGGTCAACGTGTACGTCCGACATCGGTAGGTTAAGATTGGTCTACTTCGGTGGTGCATTTTCGGAAGAGGAAGAAGTGCAAACTCACTGCTATCAGATTCTCCGAAGAAGGCCCGCCAAATTAAATGTGTATGCCAACCATTGTGAGCAGTGCCCCTCTTCCATATCTCTCCCGGAAAAGGAGTAGTCGTAACATCCCACTCGAAAGTCATAGTGGAAGATCGATTAAATAATTTTTTGGAGAACAGTACTCCAAGAGATCACAGCCGAGATGAGCCGTCCCATAGGACGCGGCTATAGCTTGGTGGGTAGCAGCCTGTTGTACGGTACTACTCGCACCACGTTGCTGGCCACATCCTCCACGATCATCGCTGCGACCGCTTCTACGGCCGGCTTCACCTCCTCGAGGATGTCCTTGGTGTTCTCGTTGAGGAAGGTGTTGGTCGTCCGACCTGTTGAGGAGGAGCGGCCATTAAACAAGGTGCTCATGCGCATGGCGAAGACGCCTCAGGTTCCGCGCTGCCGTCTTTTACTTACTCAGGATGGGGTCGCCGTTAAAGAGGTTGCCAAAGTGTGCCTTGGCGCCGCCGATAGTCAGCGACACTCGGGTCTCGGTCGGCCGGATATACTCGCCGTTCTTGCGCTTGACTAAGTTGAGCTGGATATCCACGGAGGCCTTGGTGTTTGCTGGAGAAAGAAAGAGAGAGAGAGAGGGGGAGGGGATTGATAATTTGGAACAATATCTCACGTAGCTGAATCAGTCAGCCCCAAGACACCAAGGTAGTACACTTGAAAAACCCCGACGTTATGCACTTTTTGCAGGAGTGTGTGAGCGGGTTACCTGATCCCTCGGAGCCCTATTCGACAGGTTAGAGATGGCTGGCAAGCCCGCCTGCCCAGGCGCCTTACAGCGCCGTGTGAGTAGGCAACCCACCCACTCGCTTGAATGCGGTATAGCATATCTAAAATGTAGTACGGCGCCCAACGGCCCACCAGTCCGGTCACCCTGTACTTTAACTAAGGTCTGATTGGTGCTCTCCCCCCCCCCCCCCACCCCGGTGGATCTAAATACACTGCACAAATCTCAAGAAGCATTATAATGCTATAGTGCTTTGAATTCTTAAGCCCAAATTTGAAACGTTGTTATGGAGTATAGGTGCTGTACCAGGGTGGCGTAGTTAAAAGTGTAGGACATCATATGGCACCTTTGGTCCTAGCTTAGAACACTAAGGTAGGTACTACTCTTGTAAGTCGAGCGAATGTGTGGATGACACTTATCTTTCCAGACTAGAATACTCACTCAAGTTAGCGGTGAAGATGCCCTCGCCCCTGATGGGCACGACCAGGGCTCTGCCGTCGATCACGTAGTCCGACTCGAGGTACAGGTCAGGGATGTCCACATTTCCATCAATTTTAAGATCCTTCTCGATAAACCTGGGGAAAAGTGCGCGCTGAGTAATGCTGGACCTTCCCGCTCCGCCCCCTTCAGGGCTTACGAACAATATGACCGGTACCTGACTTGCTGGAACTTGTATTCGCCGAGTCCATAGATCTTCAGGTTGGTGAGCTTGAGTTTGTAGTTGACAGCGCCAGTGCCCTGTTCTAGTTTCACCATGGGAATGTTGAGCGGGGAAACAGAAGGGATGTTCAGTTCAGGAATGCCTGTCGGAAAGATTCGAGTTTAGATCAACAATCTTGCAGATTCACGAGAATGAAGAACGAAGCAAAGAAGTTAACAAACCAGGAACACACTTTGGCTTCGTACCGATTTTAGTTATTTCAAAAGTGTTTCTGAGTTTTTTGAAAAAAAATTGCATTTTTGGGTAATATTTCTAAATTATATTCAAGAGGTATTTCAGATCCTTCTGTTTTTTGACGTCTGACCCTCGCCGATATTGCTATGGTCGGGTAGTCGTTATCTCGTCAGGTGGGCTATCGCCCCCTGGCTGTGCCAACAGTTCTACTCACCCCTGGCGATGTATGGCTGCAGCGTCACGGTGGCTTTTCGGATACACTCCGCCAACTGGGGATCGCTTCGGCTGCATATCGGTACGAATGAAGCTACAAAAAACCAAAATTGGAAAAAAAGTGTTAATGGTCGCAGTTTGAAGCCTTTGAGGTAAGCAAAGTCTAGATGATTTAAGCGCCTACAGTTCGAAGAGCCACCGTTATTTTTCGACGTTGAATCGACGTCGACTTGGCCTTTTTCACCGGTGTGTACATTAGTATCCAAACCGCCTGCAGTAACAAGCGTTCCATAGCAACGAGCGTCTTTCAGATTGATTGGTATGTCTAATGATTCCAGCTGCGCCGTGTAATTATTTTCGACTGGAGGCCAAACGAAAGGACTTTGTCAGTCTCACTCGCTTCACCTACTGGGCAAAAGGCCGCGTCCAAGATCAAAGAAACATTTATAACTAATGATAGAAGAAAAAGTTCCTTAATACAACTTTGCTGCGAGACTACCAACTTGCCCCGTCTCCTCTACAACAAAATAAGATATGAATTTGCGATTGCAGATATGTGAAGCGAAAATATTTGGTTCAGCTCGAGAGATCTGCTTCCAACTTGTCCATCAATTTGTGGTTTACGACATTCTAAAAATATTGGAAAAAACAAATGACTGCTCCGCCGATTGGGAAGACCAGTGATTTAATCGCTGCCGGTGTATGCTAAACAACCGCCGGAGCTGCCATCTATATGGGGTTTAGTTTTGTTACTTCCCAAAAAGGAAATGACAGATTATTTTCCCAGAATAATTTAATCTATCACCGCTTTTGTCAGTAGCACACTCCTGGCCCATAGCAGAATGGCTGCAATTCGTAAAGAACTCTGCCAAGAAGATCTTGTATTCCCATATCATTAGCTGACTTATTTACGAACGGGCCCTGCGCCTTCCTTCGTCCAGTCGCCTGCAGAGTGCAGAGCATCCGACCAGGCCTGACCTTGGGTCCACTCGCGGCGAGGAGCGGCGCGGCGTACAGTCGGGACAAGAAAGTGAAAGGAAAACAACACTTGGCCGGCCGGAGATGGACTTCGACAGGTCGACCACCTGATGTGTGCTTCAAGAATCGGTGCGCATGTTTAACGATTTTATTTATTCATTGAAAAATCTGATGCTATGACTTCTGCACGTCGTGCTCGTGTCACCCCATTGATTAAGCACTAAGGCCTCCGTCGGACACTTACGGAGCTCCTTAGCCGCGAGCACGCTCTGGAGGGCGGCAGCGAGTATGAGGAGCATCCTCAAAGAGGTTCCAGTGGACGCCATGATCGCCGAGCTGCTGGACACTGTATCCGACGGGACCCTCGGTCGTACGCACACACACACTCGCGGGACGCAGGTACACAGCCAACGGTTGGCGACTGTCTGCAACTTCACGGTCACCGGCGTTATATACTCAACCTCTGCCTGTTTTGCCCAGCATCACCCCGCCAATCCCTGCCACCACGCCTCTCCCGCCGCTCACCCCGCCCCGCCACGCCCGCCTCGCCCGCCACGCTCCGCACCCCCTCCACCCCGCACCCCCTCCGCGCCGCACCCCAGAGCATCCACACGCCGCCGCCGCCGCGGAGCAGCCGTAGGATTGGCGAGTCCGTCAGCAACAAAACGACGGCGGAACAACGGATCGAATTAAACATGGCGAGGCATGTGAGGAGGCGGCCGGACTGTTCCTGCTCCGGCTGGGCCTGCTGGACCTGCTGGACCCGCTCGCTGGACCGCCGGACGGCCGCTTCCGGCTTCTCGCAGGACGACACGCAGGGCCCGCGGCGCAAGGGCGGCCGGCCGGCAGATGCAGCGAGCGCGGCGGGGAAGGGCGAGCAGGGCGGATATGAGGGTGGCAGCCACCCCGCGCCGTCTGCCGGGGACCGCCGGGGACCGCCGGGGACGGAACTTTCTTTCCGATCGGTGCAACTAATCACGCCATCTTATCCGCGCTCGTCCGGCCCGCCCCGCCGCCTAATGACGCGGGTCCAGCTCGCGGCGTGTTCTGTTCGCGCGCTCTGCCTATCGGCCGCGCGTCGCGGAACCACGCGGACGGCACGGCGGACAGCAGGCCGCTGGTCAGGTGTCAAGTTCACGGCTGCCGTCTCCCTCCTCCCCGGCCCCGGCGGCGACGACGCGCTCCGGCGGGAAAGGGTGGGGCGGGGCCGGCTGGAGCCGGCTCGACGCCGCCGCGTGGCAGCCGAGTGACAGACGAACACCACTCCATGCCGGCAGCCGCCTCCATCTCCTCCAGCCGCCACCACGACGGCTGCCGCACGAATCGCCCACAAACATGGGCGACGACAGCGACTTGACGGAAATGCTCGGATGCGAGCGCGTCAAGCTCGGGTCCTGCCGCCACGCTCGCTGC